ATTTGCTGCTCATCGATACGTACCATATGGCCTAAAGCTAAGTATTCCGACATAAATTGTGCATATTGCGCCTTTAGTTGTGGTTGCTTCTGTAATTTACGTTCCATAGCAATAAATCTTTTCAATGCTGTGCTGCGTGATTCACCAAGTTGCTGTAGTTTCGTCTCCTTGATCGGCAACCGCACTATGAAACGGCCGTCTACGTTTCTGGTCGTAGTTTTTTCGAAATGTTCCATGCAGAGTTTCTTTTCGGGAGTAAACGGAGTTTCTTCATGGATGTGTTCCATGTCCCAAAACTTGGATAATGTTTCGTTGATTTGCTGATTAGTGGATAAATTACATGCTCTGGATTCTGCCGGGTTGTAACTACACGTCTTGCCACCGACGATCCAACCTAGTTGAGTCTTTTGTAGCGTGGGCTGATTTTTATGCAATTGTATCTGTCCGACACATATTAGTTGCCAGAATATCTCTGCACCTATAAGTATATCAATTTCACCTGGTATGTGGAATTGTGGATCCGCTAACCTGATATTATTTGGAATCGTGAACTTATCTATGTTAACTTGAACTTGAGGCAAATTGTCCGTAATAGCATTTAGAACATAGCATTCAATGTTTTGAGAATAAGATGTGTGCATTGATTTTATTCGTATTGTGACTGTGCTACACGAATGCGTTTGTGATTTATTAATTCCTGTGACGGACATGTTTGTTTGCTTTTGCACGAGATTCAATTTTCTTGCTAGCTTTCCTGTGATAAAACTAGATTGTGATCCTGAATCTAATAATGCTCTACATACATGAATGTTGCCATGTTGATCATAGACATTTACGCTTGCCGTTGATAATATAATCTGGCCATACTTATCTTGAGAGCTGTGATGATTTAGAGTGACTGTGCTAGACGGACTTGCTTGTTCCGACTTATTTGTAGATGTGTTATCCTTGTTGGACTTGTCTTCTATGTGTAGAAGCGTGTTGTGCTTTTTGCTGCATGTTTGACACGTTGACGATTTGCAATCCTTGGCTTGATGTGTAGTGGATCGTAGACAGTTTATGCATAGATGTTTAGCTCTTACTTCTTTATTCCTATTTTCGCTTGGCAATTTCAGAAAATCAGGACATTGAAATATATAGTGCTTCCCCTTGCAGTAAGCACAGCCAATGTTAGAAGCAGCTACGTGAGTATTAACCTTGTTAGATTTACGAGAATTTGACGCTACTGAATCGCTAGATGCCTTCTTGGATACGGCTGATAACGCTTTGCATTTATGTATCAAGAAATCAATGAGCTGTTTTAAAGTGGGCATGTCATTTGCTCGAATCTCATCCTCCCATTCTCTTGCGATGATTGAATCTAACTTAGTGATGATCAAGTGAATGATAAGATCATCCCAATGCTCAGTGGGCCTACCTAAGCTTTTTAACGAACGCAAGTGCCGTAATACGTCGTCAATTAACTTCCTTAGTGCTATACTATTACCCCTTGTAATTGCAGGTAAATCATATAACGCTCTTATGTGTTCCTGAGCTATCTCACGCTTGTCGTCGTAACGTTGCTTTAATAAGTCTAAGGCTTCTTGGTAATTATTAGAAGTGATTTCCAGCGATTCAATAACGTGCGCCGCGTCGCCTTCCAATGAGGAAATTAAATAGTGAAATCTTTGTATGTTTGTTAACTTCGGACTGAGATGAACCATCGACTCGAATGTATTGTAAAACGGATACCAATCCACGTAATTACCGCTAAACTTTGGTATTGCAATCTTCGGTAAGTGCATCTGACTGATGTCACGGACATAACCTTCATTTCCGTTCGGATTCGCGACCTCGATCTGCGTAGGCGCTAATAAACGTTCGATTTTGCTAGCAATACTGAAGTAACTCTCTTCGAAATTTAACCATTCTTGTTCTTGCTCGGCCTGAAGATCGGCTTTTTCGATACCATCTAAATCCTCGGCTAATTCTAATAACTCGTCAATTTGCACTTGGATATCATTGAATTGATTCCAATATTCAGCGAATCGTTGTTTCCGCTGTTTTACGTACGCGATATCTACATCTTGTGGATCTATAGCATCGATCGCGTTTCGAGTACGCGTGCATTGTGATTTTACGGATGCTCGTTTTGCTTTAAGAGCCTTTAATTTTTGCATCGACATTATTACGAATGATGTCGCACAAGGAATGAAGGGAGAGGAAAGATGGAGACTCACCTCGTTGCGTTGTAATGCGCTGCAGTGCGCTCGTTTTCGTGGTTATATTATACTTTGCTACTTTTGCTCTTGTCGCATTTACGTGAGATTTATTCTGTTTTGTCAGCATATCCGGCTCGAAGGACCATGTTCGTGATAATGACTGACTCGCTTTTTTGGAAAAGATATGCTGCCTTTTATTGCTGCGTATAATGTTACAATGCTGCCTGTTCGGCGGTTAACGGACAAGAGCTAACTAACTAAACATGTGTGTCGTCTCTACGCGGCGAGAGAGCCCTCTGTTGATGGCGTCGACTAGTATCGGCGCTGCCGATCATTCTCAGGGGTGCCGCTAGCATGGTACAAAATAGTCTCAGGCGGGAAGTTCAATCTCTCCCAAACATACCGCCCCCCTTGAAAGGGCTATCCCTTTTAATATAATAGTGTGCATTGACTTCGAGAAACAAAGCTATTCGCATCTGATAAATCATATCGTTATATGTCGATCTGAAACTAAAAGAAATGATTAGATATATCCAAAACACAAAAAACTAAACCTTTTAAAGAACAAATATTTGATAAAGGATACAATGGGCACGCTAGAGTCCTTATTATTAAAAAACTCCTTCATAGACTCTAATCCTCCTTTTGCAATGGAAGGATACATAATTTAGTAATAGGCCTCTTATAAGTTCCTTTAATAGTTTTGATCGAGGCTACTCGGGCTATTCCATCTGCGCCAGGGTAAATATTCTCTATACGCCCAACAGTCCATTTCAACGGAGAGGAATCGTCTTCTCGTATCATAACCATATCGCCGGTGGTTAATTGTAGCCCTTTAGAATATCGCCATTTAGTACGTTGTTGAAGTTGCTGCAAATATTCGCAACTCCAGCGCTTCCAGAAATGCTGGTAGATTTGATTAATACGCTGCCAGCGCGAAAGCCTGTTAATCGGCACCCGACTGACATCTTGTTGTGGAGTGGACGTGAGAGAGTCTCCAACTAGGAAGTGACCGGGTGTTAGGTATGAAAGATCATTAGGATCATTGGAAATGGGTGTCAAAGGACGCGAGTTCATAACTGCTTCTATTTGAGCAAGTACCGTATACATTTCCTCGAAAGTTAATGCAGCATCACCTACAACGCGTTTTAGATGATTTTTTGCAGATTTTACCGCTGCTTCCCATATACCACCGAAGTGAGGGGCGTGAGGTGGTATGAAACTCCACTCTATGTTGTCTTCCTTTAAAGTCGTGTCTACTGTATCTTGATGATGTTTATTATGTAGCAATTGATAGAATTCCTTTAGCGAGTTTGCTGCCCCTTGAAAGTTTGTACCGTTGTCCGAGTATATGCATGATACTTTACCTCGACGAGCGATGAAGCGTTTGAGAGCATTTAAAAACGCCTCTGTGGACAAGCTACTCACCAATTCAATGTGTACAGCCTTTGTACATAAACATACAAAAATGGCTATGTATGTCTTCACTAATTTAGCATTGCGAAGTTGGCTAGATTTTATGTGAATTGGCCCGCAATAATCAACGCCGCTGTGTGCGAATGGCTTGGATGGTGTGACTGTATATGAAGGTAACTCACTCATAATTGTTTCGGATGTACGTGGAGCTGCCTTGTAGCAAGTAATGCACTGTCTGATGTGTTTCTTGATGCTGTTTCGAGCTGATAAAGGCCAGTATTTGTCTCGCACGGCCGCCAGCGTTGTCTGTGCTCCGGCGTGGAGCTGCTTGCGATGCTCATGCGCTATAACGAGACGCGTGAAGGGATGATCAGCAGGTAATACGACGGGATGTTTCTTGTCAGGTGAGATTGCTGAGTTCCGAAGTCGTCCACCTACTCTTATGATATCTTGTTCGTCAATAAATGGAGCTAAACTAAGCAATTTGCTTTTGCGTGACACACATCCATTTGCCTTAAGGGAGTGCAGTTCTTGTTTAAATGCTGATTGCTGAATGATTCTTATAAGACGACGATTGGATTCAAATAATTCCTGTGTGGTTAAACGATCTTTAATTCTAGATTCTGGCTTGCTTCTAATGTTAGTGATAAATCTGATGCAAAGAGCGATGACTCTAATTAGCTTGTTTAGAGATGAAAATCTTGTGAATATTTCATGTTTGTCGTCAATAGTGACTATAGACGTGAGTGTTGGCCTCTGCTCTGGTATTTCTCCTAATAGAGGTGGTATATTGGTGTTCCAATCTTGAGCTTCGTGCTGCAACCATGATGGACCAGACCACCACAGACTTGCGTTACTCAACGATGCCGGAAAAGATCCTCTTGATACATAGTCAGCTGGATTAAATTCTGAGCTCACGTGATACCATTGAGTCGGTCGGGAGAGCCTGTGAATTTCTCCAACCCTGTTTGCGACGAAAACACTCCACCTTTTGTTAGTTGCCCTTATCCACTGCAACACAATCTCTGAGTCTGTCCAATAGCCTACATCCTCTATTTCAAGGCGTACTGATTTCAATGCTTTGTCTGCTAATTGCACTAGTAGGACTGCAGCGGACAACTCTAAGCGTGGCAATGTAATCGTTTTCAACGGCGCTACTCGAGATTTAGAACATAGCAGCTGCGTTGAATGCTGTCCTTGTGGATTAGTAATTCTGACGTATAGACATGCTCCGTATGCCTTTTCACTTGCGTCAGCGAAGCCGTGAATTTGAATCCTAGAAGCTTGCTTACATAATACATATCTTGGTATGGTGAAGTTGTGAATTATACTTAACTGATCTTGAAATTGTAACCATGCGGTATGTATGTCCATGGGCACAGTTTCATCCCATGCCAAATTATGCTTCCATACTCTTTGGATGAGTATCTTGGCAACGAGTGTGATTGGTCCAAGAAGTCCCAATGGATCGAATATTTTGGACAATGCTGATAACATACTTCGTTTAGTCACCTTGCGAGAATCAGAAATGTTGATGTCATATTTGAAACTGTCGTTTGACGTATTCCAATGCATGCCTAGTGTACATATTTCTTCGTTTCTGTTGATGAAGTGAATGGGTTCGCCAGTATCTGCGCTCGACATATCTTCTAGTACTTCAGGACAATTGGATGCCCATTTTCTGAGCTGAAAGCCAGCCTTGCTCAATATCTTGGTGGTTTCGTCACGTATCTGCTTGACTCCGGCAATGGTATCAGTTCCTGATAATAAATCATCAACATAAAAATCGTCGAGAATAGCTGCTGCTCCTATTGGATAGTTTATCCTTTCCAGGGTTGCTATTTTCTTGATTGATGCAATCGCTAGGAAAGCTGCTGCTGCTGATCCATATATTACGGTTAGTAGTGCGAATAAAGATATCTCATCCTTTGGATCGTTCCTCCAGAAAATCATTTGCAAGAAGATTTGTGCCTCGTCAATGAGTACTTGACGGTACATCTGAGTTATATCAGCTGTGATTACATATACGAATGTACGAAATCGTAATAGGATCATAAAGAGATCTTGCTGCAACGTTGGCCCTACCATAAGGCAATCATTTAGTGATATTCCTGTGCTGGTGTCGCAGGAAGCGTCGAACACTACCCGTAGTTTTGTGGTTAGACTACTATCCTTCAGCACGTAATGGTGTGGTATGTAGTAGCGTGGGGCCTGCTGAGGTATTTGCTGCTCATCGATACGTACCATATGGCCTAAAGCTAAGTATTCCGACATAAATTGTGCATATTGCGCCTTTAGTTGTGGTTGCTTCTGTAATTTACGTTCCATAGCAATAAATCTTTTCAATGCTGTGCTGCGTGATTCACCAAGTTGCTGTAGTTTCGTCTCCTTGATCGGCAACCGCACTATGAAACGGCCGTCTACGTTTCTGGTCGTAGTTTTTTCGAAATGTTCCATGCAGAGTTTCT